GCGGCCCTATATGTGCTTGTTATCTTCAAAATGTGGTGCAAGTGGCCAATATGACCAAGGCCAAAGGTAAATGTAAACCCAGCCAGTGAAATCTCATTCAAGCTTTAACATGATGATATAATTGGGAAAGCCTATTTTTATTTTAATTGATAGCTTTCATGAAAACAACAGCTGGTGATACTGATATAAAGATTCCTGTTTAGGGACTTTGTATTATGGGGTACAATCTCCTTCCTGTAAATCCCCCTGTCACATGTTCTCCCAAAGGAAACTTTAAGCTGCTGTGTTGATGCCCATTGCCCAGGCATATTCCCCTCCTGTCACCATTTAAAAAAGGCCTGTGAAAAAAAACAGTTGCAGCCACCAACAATTAGGAAATATGCCCAGTGAAAAAAAAACACGCATCCTGCTACCACTGTAGTGTATGTGGATAGACTGTAAAAAAAACTGTAGCACATCAGCAGGATTAAAATGTAATAGAAAATGAAAAAAGGGGAAATCCAATCCTCCCCAACCCCCACAATTCTCTACGATACACATCATGACAATCAGACAATCTACTTGAACAGACCAGCCAGTGCCCACAGCTAAAGCACGTTGTCAATATGGCTGCTATGATCTCACCCTTTTATAGTTAGGGGACTGGCTTATCCAAAAGCACCCTTATTAGCCCTTCTAAGTCAGCTGACCTAAGCATTTTATGGTTACAAAGAATTCAGTCCCACATTAATTCACTGCTACCTAGAACACACAGAGTTCACCTGGAACCCATGGTGGAGATGAACCTGGACCTCATCCTAGTAATGTGTAGTTAGTATATAAACGCATAAATAATTTTATCATTGTGTGTTAAAGTTTCAAAGGGGACTATTTTAAAAAGATAGAACTACCATTGTATGTCTGATTAGGTTTAGAAGAACCTGCGTATTAAGATTGCTTCCTTCTCTTCAGGTGGCCTCTGTATCTGTCCATGTCAGTGGATTCAACCCTTCCCACCATCTCCAGTCCCTGTTCCAGCATTGGTCCCAGCCCAGCGGGAAAACACGGCTGAAAGTGGCCTATGACTTTAACCGCAGCCTCCTCGTGTAATGATCTCTTGGACTTTCAATTTGGTAATATTGGGTGGCCGAGTTGAGGATTTTTATGTCACAGAAAAGTATATTTTCTACAATAAATGCTAGTGATTGAATGAGTGATAGTTTTTTTTTCTCTGATGTATGGAAATCCACATCATAAGAGCGCCATGATATGAAGTTACCATGGTAAGTAAACATTTCTTAGATTGTCTTCATTTGTGAATGTATCTAAGGAAATAACTGTCTCAGGCAGTCTGCATTGCCCCCAAACAGCCAATACTTTTTTCCTTCTATGCCACAAAGAGAGACGTGCTGATTGGTTGCTGGAGATGTAAAAAGTCAAGGTACCCATAGAAATAGGATGGCTGTCTCTAAATCCACCAGGATCAGGAGACAATCTAACGTCGGTGGGCACCAGCAGACACTCTGAACAAGGTTTGTCAGAGGGGAAGTGAAACCCCTTCTCTAATCGCTCTTGTTTTTCCCCAAATAACCCATGCCAGATGGGTGCCTCCTATGCCCCTGTCCTTAGGCTGAATACAAATAGTTGAACTATTCAATTGTATGCAGTATTCCTGAGGGCAATCGGATCATGTCTGCATAATTGAACATTCTGTAATGTATATGGCTGCCTTTCAACTGAGAAATATGATATGCAGGACCAAAACAAGGTCTTCTAATGCAGAGGAAGAGGACAAGCTTTTCTGATATGGAGGGGCAAGAAAAGGGTGTTTTATGGCATGAAGGGACAGATCAAGGCAAGGTCTCTGAAACAGAAGAACAGAATAAGGCCTTTTGAGACCTAGTGAGACAAGCAAAAAAAGGCTAATTGACAAAGCTTTACCCAAGAATAAGGAACCTATGCCATGTGACTGTATTTTTACATCTCTTTTAAAATAACTCACCTTTTTTTTAAATAAGGATCCTTATCCTGGTGTTTTAGCTTTGGGAATTGGGCTTAATTTAGAAAGTTTAATAAATGTAGACCATGGCATTATTATAGACCTTGAAAACCACAGAAACATTGAACTTTTGAGGTACCACATACGCATAAGATATAGCTTTTAAAATACAGTTTTATTTACAAACAGGTCATCAACATTCCATCTTTAAACAAATAGTAACC